ACCCCTCACCCCACACCCACACCCACACCCACACCCGCAGCCATGATCCCGCTGTGGATGTTTCCCATGGCCACCGCCGCCGGCAACTGCATGGTGCTGAAGCCCTCGGAGCGCGACCCCGGGGCCGCCATGATGCTGGCTGAGCTGGCGCTGGAGGCGGGTGGGTGCGGCCGGCGGGGCATTTGTTCAGCGGCCCCTCTGCGTGCCTTCGCGGAGAAACCTTCGCGGCTGGCTGGCGCCCGGCCGACCGTTTGGATCCCGCTGTCTGCTCATGAGCGAGCTTGCCCGACTTGGTCCCCCTGCCTGCCCCTCCCTTCTCCTGGCTGCCCTGCCCGCAGGCCTGCCCAAGGGCGTGCTGAATGTGGTGCATGGCACCCACGACACCGTCAACCGCACCCTGGACCACCCAGACATCGCCGCCATCTCCTTTGTGGGCTCGGGTGGGCGGGGCCGGTGGGCTGGGGTGGGGTGCACATGGCCGGGTGGCACAGGACAGGTACTGCTACAGGACAGGTACTGCTACTAACAGGTGTCTGTCGGGGCAGCTGGCTGCACAGATGGCAAGTAACCTGAAGCGGACGCGCCTGGCTGGTTCAGCGGTGGGCTGAGATGGCCGCCCCTTGCCCTTCCGGCCGCCCGCGGCCGCTGCAGACGCGGCTGGAAAGTACATCTACGAGCGCGGCTGCGCCAACGGCAAGCGCGTGCAGGTGTGTGTGGGCGTGTGGTGGTGGTGGTGAGGAGGAACCCGGCGGCTACCTACCCACCCACCTGCTCGCCTGCCTGCCTGCCCCCCACCACGAGGAGCACGGCAGGCACCCGCCGCGCTCCGCCCTGCCATGTCCTGCACCTCCCCATCCCCGACCAACAACAGTCACCACACCCACACCCACACAAACCGCCACCACTGCCGCACACCACACACATGCAGGCCAACATGGGCGCCAAGAACCACGCCGTGGTCATGCCGGACGCCAACCCTGAGGCGACGGTGGCGGCGCTGACGGGCGCGGCCTTTGGCGCGGCGGGGCCAGCGCTGCATGGCCATCTCGGCGGCGGTGTTTGTGGGGGGCATGGGGCGGTACCGCCAGGCGCTGGTGGACAAGGCCAAGAGCCTCAAGGTGGGGGGTGGGGGGTGGGGGCAGGCAGGGAACAGGGCGGGGGCGGATGGGGGCCTGGCTGTGGGTGGTGGTGGGCTGGGAAGCAGGAGCTGGAGGGTGGTGGATAGCCCGGGCAGGAAGGGCACCTATGATGCACGAGAGCGAATGCTGCGCTCGTGGCGCCCAGTGGAGCAGCTTGCTTGGCAGAGTGGTTGCCTCGTGTGCCTGCCTGCCCGCGCCCATGCCTGCCCCCATGCCTGACTGCCCTGCTGCGCCCCTGCCTGCCTGCCGAGCAGCTGAATGCGGGGTGGGAGGCGGGCGCCGACCTGGGGCCCGTCATCTCCCCAGAGGCCAAGCAGCGCATCGAGCGCCTCATCGCCAGCGGCATACAGCAGGTGTGTGGGTGGGTGGGTCGGGGGTGGCCGGGTGGGTGCGCTTGTGTGTCACATGGGCTGGAGCGCGGGAGGAGGGGGTGGAGGGCGACAGCAGTCCACGCAGCGCCCCACCCGCCAGCCCAGCCAGCCAGCCCTCACCGGGGGCGAGCACCTCACCCGCAGGGCGCGGTGTGCGACCTGGACGGGCGCGGCGCCTCGGTGGCGGGCTACCCCGACGGCAACTGGGTGGGTCCCACCATCCTGAGCGGGGTCACCACCGGGCATGGAGTGCTACCAGGGAGGAGATCTTCGGCCCCGTGCTGGTCTGCCTGGAGGTGGGGCCGGGATGTGTGTGTGTGTGGTGTGTGTGTGCGGTTGGTTTGCGGGTGCGGGCGTGCGGGGGCAGCAGCGGCATCAGAGACAGGCAGCAGGGGGCGGCGTGGTGTGTGGCGCTGTGTCCACAGCACCCTCCCATCCCCCCAATCACGCGCACCTGCGCAGCAGCACCACCACCGCCAACGCCACACACCCTGCCTCTACGTCCCCACGCCTGCTGCCACCCCCCCCCCTCCCACACCTCCCCGCCCCCTGCGCAGGCGGACAGCCTGGAGGAAGCCATCTCCATCATCAACGCCAACGAGCACGGCAACGGTACCGCGCTGTTCACCGCCAGCGGCGCCGCCGCGCGCCGCTTCCAGCAGGACGTGGATGTGGGCATGGTGAGGGGCTGGGGGGCGGCGGCACACACGTGCACGCGTATGTGTGTGAACGCGTGGGGTGGGTTGGGGGGTGGGGGGTGCAATGCCGTGGCAGCAGCGAGGCAGGGGCACTGGTTGGCAGCGCAGTGTGCAGCTGCGTCCTGCGGCTCTCACCCCAGCCCCGCCTGGCTGCCTGGCCCACGCGGCGGCCCCCTGGGTGCAGGTGGGCATCAACATCCCCATCCCCGTGCCCCTCCCCTACTTCAGCTTCACGGGTGCGGCGCCGGCGCCACGCTGTGCATGCCCCTCGCGGGAGGCGGCTGCTTGCCTGGCTTGAGCTGCCGCCGCCCGGTTGTGCGCCCTGCCGCCAGCCAAGGGAAAAGGCTCGGTGCCACCTGCCCCGTCTCGCTTCCGGTGCCTCCTGCAGGCTGGCGCGGCTCCTTCTATGGCGACCTGCAGATGTATGGCAGGATGGGGGTGCAGTTCTACACACGCGTCAAGACGGTGACGCAGAGCTGGAAGGATTCGGATGCGCCGGGCGTCATCCCTGGGCTGGCGGGCGTGGGGGCCAGCACACCCGGCAAGCACTGAGGCGGCGTGCCTGTGCCCGACCGGCTGCGGCCTGGCCACTGCTAGTAGCGTGATGCTTGCACACATGCAAGCAATTCCTGGTTGTAAGAATGTCAAGCGATATGGGGCCATGCGGCGAAGAATGGGGAACGAATCGGGGCAGGAATCAAAGTGATGGGCGGGTCGCAGTGCTGGCAGGAAAAGAATTCGTTCGTTGCGCAGAGGATTGAATAGCGAATAGCGGGCATGGTGAGAGATGGTCATGTGCAGGCCAGGGGATCAAGTGTGGGCGCTTAGGCATTCCGGGGCGCCAGCACGCTGCGGCGCTGCCTGCCTTGGCCGGCGCCGGTGCCCTTGTCTGCCGGCAGCTCCCAGTAGCAGCCGTCCAGGCCGCCCGTCTGCCCCGACCTGTCGGTGCTGCTGCGGCAGCGCGCCTCGGCCTGCGTGCTGCGGCCGTGGGCGCTGGCCCTGGCGGCTGCGCGGGCCATGTCCGGGCTGTGGCCGTGGCTGCCCAGCACCGGCCTGTTGGCTTCTGCGCACGCCTCCACGAAGGTGCACAGGTCGTCAAAGCAGGAGTGGGCATCCAGGTCGTCCAGCGCTGCATCCAGCTCGCCGCCGTGCAGCAGCAGCACGCGCCAGTCGCAGCGCTGCAGCACCTGCATGGCCGAGGCGGGGCAGAGTCCCAGGACAACTCAGCCTCAATGGCATGGAAATCATGACAGAGCAACGAACTTGCTCTCCCACCACCTAGCACTCTCGCAGGACCTGGTAAGCACAAGGGCCATCCCCCACCTGCAGCTGCAGCGCCACCATGGCGCGCTTGTAGTGCTCAGCCAGCTCCTCCCTGTGCGTGGCATTGTCTGGGTGCAGGCGCAGGTAGGAGGGCAGGCAGAACTTCAGCGGGCGGTACTGGCTGCCGTGTGCATTCTCCAGCAGCCTGCGACGGGCAGGGCGTGGGCGCGGGAGGGCAGCAGGCACCCATCAGGGGACGTGGGTGCTGCGCCGACGTCTTGGGCGACCGAAGACGCCCCTGCACAATCCCTGCTCACCACAGCAGGGTGAGCAGCAGCTCCGGCGTCAGCTCTCCAGGCGTCACAGCGGCGCGGCGGCACAGCACCAGCATGCCTGCAGCACCCGTGTCGCAGATCTCTCAAGAGAGCGCGAATCGGCCGCCTTGCACAAACTGCACTGGGTGGGCTGCCAGGCCTGCACCCATCAACCACAAAGCGAGTGCAAGCTGCCCTTCCAGCACCCACCTGCAATGGTGACGGCCAGGCTTCCAAAGTCGTGGGCCCCCACGGGGTGCAGGTCCCACTGCTCCAGCTGCGTCAGAGCAGCCAGCACGGGCGTGCTGCCCAGGTGGAACAGGAAGGCTGGCAGCAGCGGGTCGACGATGCTGGTGGCGACAAATTCTGCAGCGTCGGGAGTTGCACACAAGCACAGGGGTGGCTGCCAGTTGACCACCATGTCAGGCTGCTGCCTAGGTGGAATCAGCACCCAGCAGCCCCGACAGGCTATGACAGCTGCCAGCAGCCTGCGCAGGCCAGGTCAACCACCCACCTGGGAAGGCGTCGTCCTCCTGGGCGCTGCCACAGCTGCTGCCGCACAGCGCGGGCGTGGCGGCGCTCTGCATGCTGATGCTGTCCTCCTCGTTTTGATCCGAGTGCGACGGCGGGCTTGCAAAGCTCTGCAAAGCAGCGCGGCGGGGGCGGGCTCAGCAGAGATGGGGCCACGGCAGCGGCGGAGTGGGTCAGCGTGGCGACAAGGCGGCGTCCCTACTTGTAGCCTGCAGTGGGGCTCCTGGCAGCGAGTGCAGGGCAGCAGCGGGGGCGCCTTGCTTGCCTTGTCCGCTCCGCGGGCGGCAACGGCGGCGGGCGAGAACAGTCTGCTGTGCTTGTGCTGCTGGTCGCCGCCTAGCCCGTACGCCTTGGTGAGCTGCAGCTGCTCGATCCCGCAAGGCGAGTGGGCAAGCTGCGCAAACACCCGCTTCTGCTGCCGCGCCCCCAGCGCCTTGGTCACGCTCCTTCCTGACATCTTGGAGGCGCTGCCAATCGAGCGGGGATGAGGCGGCAATGCCGGCGATAATGGCGAACGGCAAACGCGAAGCCCGCAACTCATCATCAGTGCACGCTTTCCAATCCAGCTGGCGATGCAGCGGCGGCGGCGCCGGGGGCATTCATTTAGGCAGCACATTGCCTGATTGCTGGTGAATCTTGTTGGGAACCAGGTGCTGTGCAGAATTTACAAGCAAGGTATATCATGGACGCAGTGGCCGTGCCAAAGAAGGTTGTTTGCGTTCAGGCGGAGTCGATTGAGTCGGCGGAGCGCCAAGACAGGCGCAGGCCAAAGGGGCACTGCAGCCTGTGGCCCAGCGCCGACAGGTCGAGGCGCAGCCCGGCCAGGCCGGCACCCACCGCGCCGTGCGGTGGGGCCAGGCTCCGCACCACCTCCAGCCCGCCGCAGGTGTCTGTGCGCTGCACCACCTCCACAGTCATTGCTTCGACGGGCAGGTGCCAGCCCAGCACCTCGATGCCGCCCAGGACTGGCCACTCGACCGCGGCGTCCGCCGCAGCCGCAGCCTCTGCGTCGCGCGCGGGGCTGCACCTGCCGGCGCCGGCTGAGCGCAGCTGACTGGGGCTGCCAAACTGCAGCAGCACCTGCGCCGCGTGGCTGCGGCTGACGGGCTGGGGGCTGAAGGTGGCATCGATGTGCAGGAAGTTGCAGAGAGACGTGCCCACCTGCAAGGCAGCAAGCATGCCTCAGCAGATGGCAGGCGCTCTCTTCGACTGCGGGCTTTCCCTGCAAGGAATTGCATTGATGAGCATCCGATCACCCCCCCCACCCCCCCACCTCCGCACCACCCACGCACCTCCACCTCCTCGCCGCCATCATTGTACACATGGGCGCTGATGCGCGCCTTGCCGCCGCCCAGCGCAGCGCCGCCCGCCGTACCCGCCTCCAGCACCCCCGCCAGCGCCACCACCACGGTCAGCGGGCTGCGCTTGGCCTCGGCGGTGGTCAGCCCGCCCTGCTGCATCGCAAGCGCCTGCAGCCCATCATGCCAGGCAGGGCAGTACGGGGCAGGGCGCGGGGAGTGTGTGGGGTGTGCGGTGGCGAGCAGCGCATCCCGCGGTGCTCGGTGTTGGCAGCCGGGGCAGGTCGCGGCTTCACATGGATGGGATGCACAGCAGGGAGGCGGCGCCGGCTCACCGAACCGCCCTGCATGTGCAGCGGGATGCAGCCCAGCCCCGCCAGCGGCGCATCCAGCACAACGGTGGTGCCACCCTCCCTGCGCGGGGGGCAGGCGCAATGCAAGCAGGGCTGAGCAGCTGCACGCGGCTAGGTAGGCAGCGCTCCGCGCCCAGCATCCTTGCTGGCACCAGCTGGCGCGTCGCGCCTCCAGCGCCATCACAGCCATAAGCGGCCTCCACGCAGCGGCCAGGCTGCCCCAGCTCACCCTGCCTCCACCACCTCCCCCGTGTCCCACAGGCTGTGCCAGGTGCCGGGCGGGAAGTAGGCGCGCACGCTGGTGGCGCCCTGCTGCAGCACGGGGCTGACCAGCAGGTGGGGGCCCACCATGAACTGCCTGCAGGCAGCAGGCGGCAGAGGAGCGGTGGAGGCGAGAGGTGGGCAGCGCAGGGGAGGGGAGCTGCGGGGGCTCGACGCATGCTGCATGCTTGCCCTGGCACCACGGGTCGTGCAAGTGAAGGCTTTCCCCCTCTAAACACCAGCTCCACTGAGCAGGCGAGGGACACAAGCCCCACAACGACGGAGCGCGCCTGTCAATGGCGTGGGTGTTGGGGTCTTGCGGGAAGTTGAGGAAGAGGGGGCGCATGACGGGTGCGCCCGTCTGGTAGGCGGTGTGAAAGGTGGTGTAGAGGTAGGGGAGCAGGCGGTAGCGCAGGCCCAGCGCCGCCTTGCCCGCCGCCGCCACCTCGGGCCTGCAAGCGGGGGAGGGGATGGGGAGGGGTGGGGGCTGGGGCCAGGCCACAGGCAGCAGACGAAAGGGTTGCGCAGCAGCAGCTCGAGCGGGACCGTGCATTAGGTAATGCCGGCAGCTGATTGCCCCCAATGACCCGTCACTCCCCCAAGTACCACAGCCCCGAAGCGGTACGGTGACCCCGCACCAGCGGTACAGCTCCTGGTAGCCGCCGTGCAGGTCAGAGTGGTCGCGGGCGAAGGGGTAGAAGGAGCCCAGGCTGGCCCAGCGGGCGCACAGCTCAGGGGTGGGGTCGCCCATGAAGCCGCAGATCTGCGGGCAGGGAGGGGGGAAGGAAAGGATGGATGGATGGATGGGGGAGGGGGTGGGGGTGTATGGCAGGGCCAGCCTAGGTCTGGGGGTGAGGTCCAGGGGGCAGAGGTGTGCAGGCAGTGCAGGGGGCGGGACGGGGTCATGGCCCCAAGCTGGCTGCGGCCGCACGTCGGCGCCGGCCATGGGGATGCCCCACAGCCCGATGCTCAGCACGCCCGGCACGCTCCATGCCATCTGCTCAAACGTGGCTGCGGGCGGGGCGCGGCGAGGCAGCGAAGCCGGGTGGGCCTGGGCAGAGCAGATGCGGCGGCAGGAACCCAGCCAGGAGCGCAGCAAGCAACGCAGACAGCCCAACGCGGCTGTCCTGTTCCCTAGCGGCAGGCGACAGCACGCGACAGCAGGCGACAGCAGGCGACAGCGAAGCGCGCCCCGGCCCCACCCGAGTTGTCGCCCGTCCAGTGCGCCGCGTAGGCGCCCGTGCCCAGGAAGGAGCTGCGGCTGAGCACAAAGGGGCGCCTGCCCAGGATGGCGCGCACCGCGCGGGAGATGGTCAGCACGGCGCTCAGGCCGTACAGCTGGTGGGTGTTGTACTGCACGGAGCCGTCGTGGTGGGAGGCCAGGACCGACATGGCCTGCGCGCAGGGGCAGGTGGGGCCCACGGCGGGAGCCTGGGGTGCGGTGCATGCCAGATGGTGTGATGCGGGGCCGTGGCCGTGGCCTAGCCAAGGGCGGCCTCTCCCAGCCTGCTGCCGCAGGCCAGCCGCGGGCGACGCCCCCACCTTGGTGCCCAGCGGCAGGCGCTGCAGGCTGCTGCTGACGTCGTAGGGCGGGTGCAGCCAGCGGAGCTGGGTGGCGTTGAGGCCCTGAGGCTCTTGGCAGTCCAGGTGGCACACCTGCAGGGGCACCAGGGGCAGCCCAGGGGGGGCACTCATCAACAAAGGTTTCGCAGTGCAGCATGCAAAGCATGCAAAGCACGGCACAGACAGCACGCCACGTCACGCGTGATGATGGGTCCCCCCCGCTCTGCCAACCAGCACCGCCCAGGTACCGGCTCCAGCCAGCCAGCCAGCCAGCGGCGGCGCACCCAGGGGGGGTCATCTCGCAGCTGGGCCCTGGAGGGAGCCCGCAGGGGCGTGGCGGGCGCCCCGGGCCGCATGTGGCACTGCGTGCCTGTGCAGAAGTTGGACACCTCGTTCATGTCGATCCTGCACACAAAAAACAGTGGCAAGCCACCAGCCGGGGGCAGCCAACTTGAGCGGCGCTGCTGGTATGGCTAGGAGGCAGCCTGGGGGGTCACAGCCGAGAACAGGCAACAACAGGCGGCGCAGCCAGCCAGCGGGGTGGCCGAACAAAGCGGGCAGCGCGATCGCACCAGATGCCATCCCAAGGCACCATCTGGCTGTGCTGCTCCAGCTGGACGGCAAAGTAGTCGCGGCCGGCGGGGCTGAGGAAGTCGGGGAAGTGGCTGGCGCCAGGCCACACCTGCATGTGTGGAGGGTGGGAGCACAGGCAGCTGGGACGCAGGTGGGCGGCAGCCCGGTCGCGGTACTTGGGCACGCAGCGGGAAGCACACAGCACTGGGAGGGGTAGCATGCCCCAGCACAGCACATCACATCACATCACATCACATCACAGCACAGCACCACGCCACGCGGCCAGTATGCCAGGTCCACGCATGGCCCCGCGCAGCGACAGCCCAGCCAGCGCCTCACCCAGCCCAGGTAGGGCTCGCCGTCCACGCCGCGCATGAAGGCGCCGGCCTTGAGGCCCGCATCGTAGGCGGGGTAGCCTGGGTCGACCTTGATGCCTGCGGTCGTGTGGAGTTGTGGGGTACGCGAGGTGGGTGATGTGTGCGCAGGGCATCCAGCAGGTGCCAGCAGCCGTTTTCTGCTGGAAGCACGCGGGGCAAGAGTTGTGTGGCGCTCAACGGCCATGCCAGGTGGGCCCCAGGCTGCGGCATCAAGGCGCCTTGCCTGGGTCCACTATCGGCACCCAGCGCTGCCCCTTGCTGTGCAGGCCCGCCACAAAGCGCTGCGCAGGGGGCACGGGAGGGAAGGCGGCCGCTCAGGAGACCGAGGGCTGGGGCTCACATGCCTCCAGAGTGCAGGCAGGCAGGCAGGCGGGCAGGGGGGCACTGAAAGGCGCTGGTGAGGCGCAGCATCCCGCAGGCAGCTCCTGCGCAGCATACGGCGGCTCAGGGAACGGCGGCAGCCCCGCTCACCCGCATCTCTGGCAGCGGGAAGTTTGTCGGGTTGAAGGTGAAGTCGCGCCATCCATCCATGTGGTCGATCTGCGGCGCACCGCACACACACATGCACGCCGGCGGAGGAGCGGCTCAGCAGCTCCCTCACACACCAGCCCTGATGTGCTCGGCCCACCACGCCATTGAGCCTGCAAGCAGCCCAGCTGGGCTCAGGGCGCCGGTGCTGTGCTGTGCTGCGCTGTGCTGTGCTGTGCTGCGCTGTGCTGCGCTCACGTCTGTCCAGATCGCCTCCAGCGGCAGCCCCGCCTTGGAGTAGTTGGCCACTACCTCCTCCACCTCCCACACGCTCTGCAGGGCAGGCACGGCAGCGCAGGCAAGAAGGGACGGGGGCAGCGCAGCGCAGGGAGTGCGTCAAGAGGGGCCGCGGGGAGACGGGCCGACGGCGCACCCGCCGGGATGCCCCAACCCAGGGAATCACCCGGCGTGCGCACCTGGTATCCATACCTGCAGGCAGACAAAACACACAAGGAAGCGGCAGTGAGCGGCGCTGGCGACAGACTCTTAGCCTAGCCACCGGCGTGCAGGCTGCCACCTAGGGAGCAGTGGCGGCAACAGCCGGCCCCCACTCCACACAGCGGCAGGCACGCACTTGCACTGGTGCCAGCCAAGCGACCAGTAAGGCATCATGGCTGGCCGCCCCACCACCGCCGTCAGCTGGTCCAGCACTGCAAGCAGGGCCGGGAGCAAGTGCCAGGGATGGGAGCTGCGGACGCAGGGGGGCTGCTGCTCCCAGGCAGCGAGCGGCAGACAGGGAGGCGGCCGCCGGGCCAGGGGCTGCTGGCCCACCCGCCCTGGTGCAGCAGCAGCAGCAGCAGCAGCAGCAGCAGCAGGCGGCCTCACCAGCCAGGGGCGTGGGCCCCAGCAGCAGCAGGAGGTCCAGGATGCCGCCCGTTACCCGCCAGCTGCGCGGCACGGGCCCGGCAAAGGTGTGCAGGGGGGGGGGGGGCAGCCCGCCGGTACGCTTGGGTTGGGCTAGCGGGCGACAGACAGTCGGCTGCTGCCACATGTGCTTGCTGCAGAGCCGCAGCACGGCATGTGGCCGGCCACCACACCGCCACCACATCCGCTCCACAGCCCCGCACCTGAGGCGGTCCTGAGAGGGCACCACGTCCATGGCGTTGCTGCTCAGCAGCAGCATGCCCCAGGCGGTCCCATCTGCGGCAGCCGGTGCACAACTCCATCACCTCCAATGTTGTGCAGGGCAGGCGTGCGCGCAGCCAGCCTTGTCAGCGGGCTTGGACGGTGCCAGGCCGCACCGCAGGCGCTTGTGCGCCCACGCACGCCACACACACAGGCGACGACCCGCACCTGGCTCCAGCGCCATCACAAACGGGTGGCTGCCGTACATGTTCTGCTCGGGGAAGGTGGGACCCAGGTCGTGGTTCCACAGCGTGCGCGGCATGCCGTTGCGCCTGCGCCGGCCAGCAGGTCGGCCCAAGGCTTGCGAGGCGGCGGCGCAGCACCAGCCACGCCAGCAGGCAGGCAGCAGCCGGCAGGCAGGACCGCATGCACCCGCCCCAGGGCACATGCACCGGGGGCTGGGCAGGCGGCGGGGGCTCACTCGAGGTGCAGGGTGTGCGAGGCGCGCTCGCCTGCGCCAAACAGCACCGCAGAGGGGCTGAGCCAGGTGGAAAGCTCCAGGTATTGATCCTGCCGGGACCAGGGCGGGAAGGGGGAGCAGGCTGGGCGAGGCGCGGCGGCGCAGCAGGCTGTCTAGGTGTGCGCGGGCATCATGCAGAAACCGTGGGGCCCATGCATGGAATGCTGCCACACAGCTGAGCCCCGGCCCTGCGGCGCTTGCCTTGAAGACCAGGCGTGTGGCGGTGGAGTTGAACACGGTGCGGCCAGCGCCCTCCCCGGCCCCGGCACTGCCGCCTGCCGCCTGCGCCTGGGAGCGAGTCACCTCCAGGCTGAATGGCTCCTGCTTGACGCTCAGCTCAAACAGCGGCCCCGTGCTGGCGGCGCCGCTCCCACCGCCGACAGCAGCAGCCCCGCCCGGGCCGCCGCTGCTGCCAGGCAGCAGCTCAGAGGCCAGCAGCCACTGCGGGACCTCCCAGCGCTGCACGGCGGCGTCGCCGATCTTGAGGCGCAGCACGGCATCGCTCAGGGGCTCCGCATCCAGTCGCAGGCTCTGTGGGGGAATGGGAAGGAGCAGAGGGTGGCAAGATCGCTGGGGGAGCAGGATAGCATCATGCTAACAGCCTTGCACAGCCAGCCCCGCGAGAGCCGGCCAGCAGCAGCGGCATGCCAGGCGGTGAGGCCCCCCCCCCCACCCACCCCACCCACCTCTATGTCTTCCCCGAGGTACGGCTGGGTGCGCTTGGAGATCGCCAGGCTGGCCTGCAGGCTGCCGCCTGCGACGCCAGCCAGCCGCGCCGGCAAACTCAACACACCGCTCGGCACAGGCAGGTGGATGGGCGGCGTGGGGTGCGGCAGCAGGACCGCCGCAAGCCTGCATGCGCATGCAGCCAGCCATGTGGCTTGCGGGCGCGATGGCCTGCCGCGGCAGCACCCACCCTCGCCCTGCCGCAGGTCGGCCACTCGATACTCGCTGGGCTCGGCGTTTGGGCGGAAGCACCAGGGCAGGTCCACGTGCGGCGCCCCCGGGAACGCTGCCGGCAGCCAGCAGCACCCCTTCTGCTCGCACTCCTGTGGGGACATGCCCGGGTAGCCTGCGGGGGTGGGAGAGGGAAGTCGTGGAGGGTCAAACAAGTGTCAAGGCGGCGGTGTTGGCGGCGGTGTGTGGGCGGCAAAGCGGGGGTCTCTGGCATGCACATGGGGGTCATGCCGGCACAAGCAGGGGACATGTGGGCCGCCGACGGTCACCGCAGTCGAGCCTGTTGCCGACAGCGTCGCAGGCAGTCTCGGAGAGGGCCATGGGCGGGATGGCGAGTGCCACGAGCAGGGCCCATAGCGCCATCGACGTCAGGGCCCTCATTGCAGGATGCGGCCCTCGCCGATCAGTCTATGGGGAAGGGTAGGGTTTCCTGCCTGCTCTGGCTGGTCTTCTAAGGCTCATTAGCGCATTGATGGGATTGCTGTGGCTGCCATCTAGGCAGTTTGGTGCCGTTTTCACAACACCCGCGACCCTGCGAGGTACGAGGTACAAGTTGAGTCCAAAAACGAAATCACACTGTCCAAAAACGAAATCACACTGTCCATTGTTTCGACACACATGGCAAGCATAGACTGGCAGGGCCGCCAGCGCTGGTGATAACAAAAAATGGCGGAGGCAACCGCGCTGGCGCTGGAGGCGCACCTCCACACTGTTGAGCTGACTGGGATTCTCGGCGCTCGCCAAGCATCCATCAAGGTGCCCGCGCCAGCTCGCCCCAGGCCCCCCTCCGCGTGCCGCCTGCTGAGTCTGTGTGTGCTGCTGCTGCAGGCACCCAACATCCTGAGGAGGAACCTGTCGTATGTGGACTCTGGCAGGCGGGCCCTACAACACCGGTGCGCCGCCGCCGCTGCGCGCCGCCCAGCAGGCACCTTGCAATACCGGCCTGCTTGTTCTCCAAGGCCTGGGAAACGGGCCTCCTTGTGCGCTGGTGCAGGACTGGGCAAGTGCTTCACTTGCATCTGCATGCAACGAGCACGGGCGGTCAGCCAGGGGCAGATGCAGCGGCCAACGGGCACGCAGTGGCGGGAGCAACGCAACAGGGCAGCACGGCGGATCCAAGCAGACCAGACGCCGGCGGCAGCACAGCAAAAGACGTCATCATTGCAGCGCTGTGCGTCGTGGTGCACAGCAGCGGCGAAGAGGTGCGGCGCCAAGCCGTAGTGCTCACTGTTGCCTGCCTGCACGCGATGCGGCGCTGCTGCTCCTCTTCTTGTGTTGCATACCCCGCCAATGCCATAGCCCCGCCCTGGGGGCCCATGCACTGCTCTGCAGGGATATGTGCCCATCGCAGCGCGCGCCATGCCGGTACCGGCGGCCGCCAAGGAGGCGTCGCTGGCGGTACAGCTGCCGCTGGGCGGCAGCCCCCGAGCCGCGGGCCTAGCTGTGGTGCTGATCCACCAGCGCAGCACTCGCCTGGCGCTGCTGGTTAGCATGGCCTGCCAGCGCTGCCGCCGGCGCGCAGGTGGCAGCAGCAGCAGCAGCGGCGGCGGCACGGCAGCAGCCGGCTCAGGTTGCAAGGTGGTCTCGCCCAGCGTCACCGCCGCCGCAGCTTTCCAGCTGGTGCCCAGCGGCTCGGCGGTAGCCTACAGCATTGTTCACCTAGGAGACCCCCTGCGGGCCGGCAGCGGCGGCGGCAAGCAGCAGGTGAGCACGGCGGCGGCGCCTGACCCGCCATCGACGCCACCTGCCTGCTGCAGCGCACCCCGATGCCGTCGCTTGGCGGGCTGCCGGTGCCGTGCCTGCCTGTGCCTCATGCCGCCGCGCACGTTGACCCGCAGGGGCCGCTGACCAAGCTGGACGGCGTGCTGACCACGCACGAGCCAGCCGCAGCCAGCGACAGCTCAGCAGCGCCCCCACCCATCTCCTTCCCGTGGATACAGTTTGGGCCGGGGCCGCAGCGGGGCGAGAACGGCAGCAGGAGCAGCGGCAGTGCCGGCGGCAGCACACGCCCCAGCGATGGCGCCAGCAGCAGCAGCATCCGGACGCAGTTTTGGTATGGCATCAGCGTGGGGTCGGCAGCCGGAAGCGGCAGGAGCAGGCAAGGCGAGGTGGATGAGCGGGGGCGGGAGCAGCGGGAGGCAGTCGGCCCCGGTGCCGCGGTTGCCGGCACCAAACGCAAGGCCGGCGTGCTGGCAGGGGAGCAGCATCAGAATGGGCGTGCCTCGCAGGCGGCGCTGCCGGCAGCCGAGGCGCAAGCGTCGCAGCAGCAGGGCGCGCAGCCGCCACCCCCCAGCCAGCAGCAGCAGCAGCAGCAGCAGCAGCAGCAGCTGGAGCCCCTCCTGACCTTCTTCTTCACCTCCTTTGACGGCGGCCGCACCGCATGCGCGCAGCTGCGCGGCTTCCGCTGCCCGCTGTCCTCCTGCCGCGGCCTGCGCTGCCACAGCTACGCCGCGCTGCAGCAGCACCTGCAGGCCTGCCACAGCTACCAGAGCTGCTACTTCTCTGATGCGCTGCCCGGAGGCGACCTGGAAGTGTACCTGCGCTGCAAGCCGGGTAGGCTGGCCAGCGCTGCTGCGTGGCGGCGGCGGCGGCGACGGCCGTGGAGTGGATGGATTCGCTGCGCGTGCCGCCCTGCTGGCCACTGCAACATGCCTCTCAGCGCTTGGCAAGCTGTCGACAGCCAGGCCGGCCTGCCTGCCTGCCCCCTGTGCGCAGCCTGGCGCGATGCCCAGGGCGGCTTCTTGCCCCGCCAGCTGGCGCCTGCCACCCTGGAGTCACACCCGCTGGGCACGCTGCTGTCCCGCACCCACATCCTGCGCCCCCTCATGTACCACTGCCCTCGAGCGCAGCGCAGCCTGCGGCTGGGCCAGGGCGGGCGCTACCCGCGGGATGAGGAGGAGGAGCTCGCGGAGGCGGAGGCGGAGGCAGCGGCGGGGCTGCTGGCGCAGGAGGGCCCCGCGCCGGGCGAGGCGCCCAGCAGCAGCGCGCCGCTGAGCAGCAGCCTGGGCCCGACCGCCACCACGGCGGGCGGCAGCGGCGCCAGCACCGAGCTGGCCGCCGCCGCGCGGCATGCCGGCGGCGGCAGGGCGGCCGCGGCGGCGGCCGCGCGGCGCCTCAGGGTGGGCGGGCGTGGGCGAGGACGCAAGGGCGCGGCGCCGGTGCGGCGGCAGGGCCACGGCCTGGAGATGCTGACCCAGGATGGGCGCCCCAAGTTCTATCACAGCCGCACCTGCGTGGCCATGACCCGGCAGGAGCTGTTTGGCAGCGGCGACTGCCTGGCGGAGAGCGAGGACGACCTGCTGGAGTGGCAGGTGCGGGGGCGGGGGCGGGGGCGCCACGCGGTGTGGCTTGTTTGGTGGCCAGCTGGGCATCCTGCCGGTGGCCTGCCTCATGCAGCGTCCATGCGAGGCCCCGCAGCTGCTGGCCGCCTGGCTGGTGCCCTCCCTGCGTGGTGCCTGTGCCTGAGCGCCGCCCTCCCCTCCTCCCCGCCTCTGCCGTGCGCAGCGCGACTGCCGCCAGCGGCTGCAGGAGCAGGCGGGGCTGTGCGCCGAGGAGCGGGAGTTCATGTTTCAGTGGAACCTGTTTGTGCACAAGCACCCGCTGCACGCAGACGCCGACCTGCCCGCGGCGGTGCAGCAGTTTGCGGCGCAGCAGGCGGCGCGCCTGGCCGGGGATGGCCCCTTCCGCCGCTGCCTGCTGTCCTACCTGCTCAACCTGTGGCGCTTCCGCCTGCTCACGCCGCAGCAGCTGCATGAGCTGACCCGCAGCCTGCCGCCGGTGGCGTGAGGGGCCGCCTGTGCTCTGACCACGCTGCTGCCTGAACGAGTGACCGACACCAACCGAATTGCAGACTGCTGTCAGATCTGGGACACATCTCTATAAATTCTTTCTAAGAAATCAAGAGAACCATGGAACCACAAACAACGCGAGAACCATGGAAACAAAACTCAACGCGCAACTGGGCCCTCGACAGGAGGAGATGGGGCAATAGAGTGGGCAAGCGGAGATGGGACAAGAGTGTGGCAAGAGGATAGGGGCAAGAGGATTGAGGCAAAGGGATTTAAAAGAGGATCGCAAGATGGCAAAAAGTGTTGCTGTCGTTGTTGCTATGGCAGTGCCGCCTGCTCGCTCTCACAGTATGCTACATCAACTTGGCGCTGGCACAGCATGCGCTGCCCAGTCAGGGGTGCTGGGCTCCTCGCGGGGGCGGGATGCCGGGCGTGACCTTTGCCGGCTTGGGCGCCGGCTTGGCGGGCACATAGTTGCAGGGCACTGGCCGGTACTTCCTGCACGGCACACAGGGTGGTTGAGGCTCAGCAAGCAGCATACCATGCAGCGCATGCAGTGCACAGTCACTGGCGCAGCCTGCCCTGCTCCCTGCCAGCGCCGGCCGGCCCCAGCTCACAGCGCGATGACGCCCCACTTCAGGTCTGCCAGCTTTTCAAAGGCCCAGACGGACATGTCAATGTGGTCCACGTCTCCTGCAGGCACAGCGGGCGCACCTCGTTATTCTGGGCTTACATGACTGCTTTGCATGCATGCAGGGTGGGGCAAGAAGGCTGGGGCCACCCACCGCAGCACCAGCGCTTGTTGGAATAGTAGTTCCCTGGGTAGCTGCACGGGCAGGCATCCTGCGCAGCACATGCATGTGGAGGGCGGGTGAGCACAGCGCACCGTGGCAACTTTCCGCCCAGGCTACCTGAAGCCGCAGAGTTGCAAGGTGGTGGGCCACTGGCTGGCCCTGCACCCAGGCGTTCCCTCCAGGCATGTAGGGCCACCCACCACAATCTGGATGACCACGCTGGCGTTGGCGTTGTAGCACACGGTGCTGCGGTCCAGCACCGCGCCATAGCCGTCAGTGAACTTGCGCGGGTCGCACTTGACCTCGTAGCAGCGCCTGCAGGTGTGGAATGGAACCAGGGGGATGCCCTGCCTCTCTGTTGGGAGCACGCAGGGCTGGCCGCGTTTGACACTACAACGTCATTGGGGCGCCTACCCGCAGGAGCCGATGAAGTCGTCGGCTTGGTCGTCGAGCGCGCCAGCATCCCAGCCTGCAAGGGCTTGGCAAAGGTGGGCGCTGTCAACACTTGCCTCAGGGGCAGGAAATGGGGCAGCCAAGTGCAGGTCAACAGATGGCAACAGCCATGCCTCACCTGGCCCGGCGTCAGGCCAGATGTATTTGTGCGTGCAGCTGCCGTCGTGGATGGTCCACACGTCTCCTGGGGCGCTGTAGTGGGTGGCCCGTCCCAGCCGCCACTCTCCTGTGGATGGGTCCCACTGGTCCTCGCCCGCCGCAATGGTGCCGCCCCACACCGCAAGCACCGCAAGCACCAGGCCTAGCCGCCGCTTCATCCTGCACCCGGTCTCTGGGGCCGTCTCAACCGAGTGTGGGGCCTGGGGCGGTTTGGCCAATGTGGACCAAGAGGAGATGAGGCTTGTGCACGCCTACACACACACCTCACAGCCGTCAGAAGCTAATAAGAATGCCCTGAATCGCTCCGAGGCTGCAAGAGGAGCGTGCAAACCACAGCAGGAGGCACAGCAGGGCAGAGCAGAGGACTGCTTCAGGCATTGCATGCAAACATTGGGATCCTTCCCTGGCAACAGGCCCCGGTTTGCCGGCAAACTTCACCTCTTGCCGGCAACACACCAGCCGCCGAGGGTCCCGTGCTGTCAGGCGCGGCGCTGAGCCATGCTGCGGCGCAACGCCCGGCTCAGGCGGGAGTTCCTGTTCCGCAAGAGCTTGGAGGGCAAGGAGAAGGAGTTGTATGAGAAGAAGCGCAAAATCCGGCAGGCGCTAGAAGGCGCGTTCTGGGTGCCTGGGACCGCCGAGTTGATGCTGCGGGCGGGCGGAGGTCGCCGGGCGCGGGGCACAGGCACATGCATGCGTCATGCCGCCGGCCGCCACCGCCGCTCTTGCCGCTTCCTGGCGGTCGCTTCTTGTGGCTGCCCCACCCGCTATGCTGCTTCCCAGGCCTGCCATCCTGCTCCTGCGCACCCCACGCTTCCTGCCTGCAGAGGGCAAGCCCATCCCCTCGGAGCTGCGCCGCGAGGAGGCAGAACTGCGCCACCAGGTGGAGCTCGAGGACGACAACACGGCGGTGCCGCGCACACACATTGACGACGAGTACGCGCACGCGGGCGAGCGCGACCCCAAGATCCTCATCACCACCTCCCGCGACCCCTCCAGCCGCCTCGTGCAGTTTGCCAAGGAGGTCAAGCTGCTATTCCCCAACTCGCAGCGCGTCAACCGCGGCGGCATGGTGAGCTCGCTGCCTTGGCTGCCTGAGGCAGGGCGGGCCGTGCTTTGTTGGAGGGCTGGGCTGGGCACCTGCTGCAGCAGGTATCCTGCGCTGCCATCCCACGGCCTGGCCCTCGCACCCTCCGCCCACCACCCCTGATGTCAG